CAAAAAAGAACGGTAAATCCATGGAATGGAAAGACAAGAATAGTTGGACCATTCTAAGATTCAACAGAAACAGATTATTTACAGCATAGCTACTATCAGTAAAATAAGATTAGATGATATGGGAAAACAGAAGAAAAGATTATTCAGTTGTGGGATAATACTCATCTTCACATATGAAGTTACTAAGTTCACATAACTCTCCTAAATTATCTGGTAATTCTAATTCTGAACTACTTCAATGAAGTTAGTGATCAATAAAAGAACCATAAAACTGTTCAACTAGAACCAATCAATTGTTACAATATCAACTAGAATTGAACAAATCAATTGTCACAATATCAACTAGAGTACTCAATGTTCTAAAATCCTTTGGGACTATAAAAGTATTTTAGTGCAATTATGGGAAAATTGTAGGAGTTATGTGAACCTACGTTGAATACTACTAAGAATGCAAATTCCTCATTTTGTTGTGTTACTGTCATAATATAACTTCATTTAATCTCTAATCGATATGATAGTAATGCAATCAATTGCTTGTACAATATGCTCTTGCATTAATACTATGTTTTTCATTTTTAGGAACTTTATATGAACCTTTACTGGGAATTGAGGAATTCAATTTGTACTATCACCAACATTATGTAAGATGCTTTGACAAGTTTTGAAAAAAAGTGAACTTACAAAATACAGCAAACTTTCACTCTTTAAGCCATAAACAAATCAATAAACTACCCGGAAGAGGAAACTATTCATAATTCCCACAAAATTTCCTTGTCTATAATATCCACACGGGCAATTGTCCTAAGGATGCAATAAAATCATCGGAAGTCATCCATCAAAGTGATTTGTAGGGCAACTGCCCTGAAATTTTGGGGAAGGGAATTCTCTAAAACCTACAACCTGAACCTTAGGGGTCACACTAGTACAGTAAACCGTAGTGCACCATACCCAGTAGTCGAAGATGAATCTATGCCAAATAGGGATCAATAATGTGATACGCATCGCTAGGCCTTCAAATGTGGACCTCGCGACAAGTGAATGTCATGTTGTTGATCCCTATTCTTCCAAAAAAAATTTGGAAATTTCTACAAAATTGAACTTTTTTGGTCAAGGATTCTAGAAGCTTCTGGAGGCAATATTGAACGAGTTTGGCTGGTCAAACCCTATCACCAAGCCTAGGATCCCTACTCCTAAGGGACTATTCCCCAGAAATTTTTTGTCTTAACGCCTGTATAAACCCCATTAACCTTTCGTAACAAAATCATCCAAAAACCATGAAAAATTATATAAAAATAATTATGAAAAATCTCCTAGGAAATTTGGAACATAAAAACCTGGAGAATATTATAAAAAATGACCAAAGCTCCCAAAAAAAAAAAACCCTATATCCAAGAATTCCTAGAAAATTCCAAAAAAGAAGAAAAAAAATCCCCTTAAATTGGAAAAAACCCTAGATCTAAAAAAACCCTAGAAAGTCCTAGGCTGAACCGTAAGCCAAATCCCTTAAAATTCCCACCAAATATTCTCTATAGATCTTCAATTCAGACAAATACGGCCTTTGTCCCTTGGTTTTCTATTATTGTGTTTTATGTTTCCTAAACTTTCCTGTTTCAGTACTAACAAAAAAAGAGGGACCGGAAAAACGAAAAAGTTTATATAGAACTGAGGCGCTAAATAATCAAATTTAAGCCTACCTCAAAAAATTCACTATAAGAGGTTGTTTTGATGCTCAGATATCTTCAAATTGATCATCTCCACATCAAGATGTATAGACATGAAAAAGAATGGATTTTAAGTTTTGGAAATAATGTATTTTGTAACACATTTTTGGACCGTTAATTTTCAAGATTTTCAAGTTCTCATACATTTATTGATCTACACTATTTTTGAAGCTTTAAACTTTATAAATAAACATGAAAATATATTTTAACGCTATCACAAAGATTTCCAGTATTGAAACCACACTTCTCGACACTATATGAAGGTACGCTCCAATTTGATTGTTTAGAGACTGGGCTCTTTACAAAACATACCCCTAGAAAAATATTTTCTGCTTTCTGTATTAGGTTTTCTTATTACACATAATATTTTAGAAAAATATTTTCTGCTTTTTGTCTTAGGTTTCGTATGGCATAGAATATTCTGATTTTCTACTTTATTATTATTGCTTATCTTCAGCTTTGCCCAAAACAAAAAGTGAACAATATTCCCTATTATATAAGATTGTTTTAATATTTGTTTGTTTCATCTTTCCGGCTTTATTTTTCTTGCTTATTGCATGTTCTACTTGTTCTCAAACTTTTTTTGTCAAAAAATCAATAAATCGAGTTTAGAGCTTCCACGCACAACAAGTGGTATCAGAGCATGGTTTGGGGTTTTTGGTATGGCAGTAAATGTTTCGAATGCAAGGTTTGAGGTGGAGAAATTTGATGTCAAACACTAGTTTTCAATAAGAATGATGAAGAAATGTGTTTGGCAAAAGATGAAGAATTTATAAAGCTATCCAATTAATGCTGGTATGATGAACAAGTGATTTTGATATCAAGGTGGAGAATGTTTCATTTGGTGTTATCCAAAATCATTCACATAAAGGTTAGGACTCTTGGATATATCTATTGGTTTTTGAAATATATGTAACATCTATAGGAATTTTCTTATATAAAGTGAATTTCTAACC